GCCTGTGGGAGAGTGAATCATCTATTTCTGCAGGGTCAGCCCAAAACTGACCTCCACAGCTGCAGCGTGTGGGGAAAAACACTGTTGCTTTGTTTTTTCTCTCATTGCAGCCTGGCTCTAGCTTTAGCCATCATCTCCCTGATCAAAAAACACAGCTTTTTCCATTTGTACGAAAAACACAGTTTAGAGCGGATTTAGTCACGAGCTTGCCAGAACAACCAAAAGCACAACGTGCAGAGGGTACATCCTCCAAAGCCACCCTGCCGCCAATTCCTGCTGGCACAGGCAGCTGCCCACAATGTGCTGTTGTTTCCAGTGCTGGGGGAACAAAGGCTGTTGTTGTAGGCTAATGCCGGCTCAGTTGTGGCATGCGCCTATGTGGGCTGTTGGAACCAGGGTGGGGGACGCAGGGGGGGTCTGGGGAGGGGTGTCTGCCTGCAGTGGATGTACGGGGAAGTTTCCAAGGGCTGTGCAGCTTCTGGATGCTGGAGGTTTCTCTACAGCTCCTGTTGCTCTGGGGAGGTAAGGCTTTCTGTTGGGACCTGCTGGGTGTCCAGCCCTGAAGGTGGCATGGCAGGGTGGGGGGGATGCCTGGTCCAGAGTGCAGGTGGTGTGGTGGAGCTGGGATGAGGTGGAGGTGACTGTGGGACACGAGGGACCTGTGGCTGCAGCGTGTGGGGCTCGGCTGAGAAACAGCAGGTGCCATCCACCGCTGCGTGGTTGGTGTCTGGGGTCTGGCATCGCTGGTGGGAATGGTGAGGGGTGGAAATGGCTGATGCAAAAAACAGCATCAGGAGCCAAATCTGCATTTTAGAGCTAGCAAAAGGGTTCTGGTCTTTCCTCAGCTTTGTTTTGAATATTTTGGTTGAGAGCAGCAATGTGGCCGTTTCTAGTTTAACATGCTGCTGCAGACCTGCCTTGAGGTGAAGATAAATCCACTTGGAAGCCAAATCTAGGATAAACCAAGACAGGTCACTTGATGGTGAAGCTTCCCCATGCTGCAAGAGCTGAACTGCAGCTGGGCAGGGGAGTGAGCTAGGATGGCACTGAGCAAAAGGTTATATCTGATCCCTGACCTTTCCAGGCTTGGACTCTGATTTCACAGAGCCCCCAGAATTAGTTTAGTTGACAAAAATATTAATGGGGATTAGTGACCGACTCCACATCCTAAAAGACTGTTGACCTGACAGATCACGTTTTTCTCATTCACCCCATGTTTTCCCATGGCTGGTTTAACTCTCTCAGCTGTGACCTCAGTGCCAGCATGTGCTGCTCTTTGCAGAGGGGTTTCACTCCTGTTTCAGCATCACTGTGGTTATGCTGAAGGGTTCTTGCTGACAGGGTAAGCTGGAGCAGAGAAATTCCTGCTCTGAAGGGTTGTATTTTACCTGTTTACTTGTTTTTGCAGACACCCCAGTTGAGGATGTTATTACCTGCTCCTGAAAACCCCCCCCCCCCAACAAACAGCTTTTAAAATACCCATCTGCTGTGGAGATGCCCATTTGTCAACAACAGTGGCTCCAGGGCATGGGACAGCGATGCTCTGCCTCCTGCTTGCCCTGAGCCTGTGGAGATCCCATGTCAGCACCTATAATTGCTGGTGCTCCCCACCCCAGACACATGCTAAGTGGCATTTAGGACTGTCTAAAATGATTCAGCTGCTTGCTGTAGGGATATTCCTTCCTATCAGCAATATTGGTCCATGCGCCCACCTTCAATGGATGCAGCTGCAGCCTCTCTCGTTGTGCCTTTGGCCAGCCCTGCACTGCTGCCACTGCATTCCTCAGGGGTCTTGCATATATTTCTCCAATTTCAAAAGACATGTCCTTCATTGGACGTTCCTGTAATGCTAGCATGGCCGATATATCCCTCCTTAAATTCTATTTACTGCAACACCTGCCAAAGATGACAACTTTTCTCATAGCTGGTACAATCAGCTGAAAGGCTAGGAAAGATGCAGTATCTCATATCAAGCCCTCTGTGTGTGACATTTGCAAGGGCAGGACTATTTTTAGGTCCCACCATCAGCTACAGTCAGGATTCTTGCAGAGGTCCACTCAAGGTGGTAACCTCTGCTGTTTATTTCCATAGTCCCAGATGAACCAGATGGACTTTGTACAGTTGGTGTATCGTGGCCATTCTGGGAGAAAACAAGAGTGACCTGCATCACCTCAAAAGAGGCTGGAAACTCCCTAGAATGGAAGGACAGACTGCCACTGCTCCTCCAGAGTTTAGACAGCAACAGAGAAGCACCAATAGCTAAATTTGCAGGGCACCTACACACAGATATGTGAGTGTCTATTTGGAGCTCCAAGGTAACAACCAGTTAGTCGATGCCCAGAGCTGAGACCGTGTGACTGGTCCCCAAAGAGGGGAGACCCAAGGTGCTGCATGTGAACAGGTTTTTCCTCTTGCCGTGCAGATGGCCGGGTCTCCAAGCTGTGTCACACCAGCAGAGTTGCCATCACCTCCCTGGGGTGGTGCCGAAGGCACAGGTCACCCCATGCCACACTGAGTTGTACAGTTGTGCTGACTCTCTCCTTGCCCCCATTCAAACTTTGCATTTTTGTTGAAAACCAATTCTTCATGGTTTTTTGTTTGTTTTTTTTTTTTTTCTTTAAACATCGATCTTTGATTATTTTGACCTGCCTGTTCTGTGACTCAGAGGATTGCCATTAGCAGGCTTCTGCACTGGTGCTTAGCCCCTCCTTGTTCTTCATCTCATCTGCAAGTACATGTTACCTCAAGCAGTAAGATATCATATAGTAAGGCTGGATTAGATGCCACCATGTAAACTGCTAGTTAGAGTGTGCCTCACTTCTTCCTGGCAGCAGAGGTGACAGGTGCACCAGCATCCTTTCACCACATTTATGTACTTTTTAAAGTAAAGCTTTTGTGTTTATTCAACAGGTGAGCAGGATTTGAAAATGATCAGGATACTGCAGGCTGCGCACCCAGGGGTCCTTATTGACAATGAAATCATAGAGCCCAACCCACGGCATGTGGCAGCTTACAAAGGTAAGGCTATACCTGCCTGAGGACCGTCGATTGGAGCGATGTGTTTTTCTGCTGTTTTGTGAAATTCATTTATTTCTTCTACATTCTAAAACAGAGTTGGTGAATCAAGCTCCAGACCTGCAGAACGTCTCTTTTATTTGGCATCAGTTCACTTCCTCGGAGTACGAACAACAGATGAAAGAGAAAGGTGCACATAAGAAATTTGACTTCATCCATATGATCCAGGTAACAGAGCTCTGCTTTAATATAGGAGTATTAATTTTAACTACTCCCTTCATTTCTGCCGTATGCATGAAGTTAGGGGGACCAGAGCTTAGCACAGTTCTCACACGAGTAATAACCTCTGCAGCAGTTCTACAAACACCAACCCTCATTCCTTATCCACCCTCATTTTGGTCTCTGGTTTGTACTGGTTTAACTGTGTATGGTGGGTAATAAAACAGGATGAGTCTCAGGCTCAGGCTGTCACACATCACACGGAGACCAACAATTATGCTTTGCTGCTGCAAAGAAACCTTGAGTTTTTTTGCCTTATCAGAGTAGTTGAGATGGCACCAAAGGGAAAGGTTAGTGAAGGAACACCTGTGTCAGGTTTTGGGTCAAAAATTTTGCTGCTGTGTCTCTGATACCAATGACACTGATGTTGTATGTGCCAATTATTTATTGTAAAAAAAATCTGTTATTTTCATCCTATAGTGGCTTTTAGTTCATTTGCCTTTTATTTCATTTTGCTTTCATCTCATAAGAGCTGATTTCACAATCAGAAAGTGCTTCAGGGGGTTGACAGCTGGTTCAAGGACTAAGTTACAGGTCCCAGGGACAGCCTTTGAGATGAGCCTTGCTTTGTCTTAGTGCAAATTCCTCAGTGTCTGGAAGAGATTCAGCCTGCCCATCGCCCAGACATGTCTGAGAAATGCCCCTGATGATAAGGACCAGACACAGAAACCAGGGGACTCCCCTCTGCATGTGTTTTCCAACCACATAACTGTGCTGGGCTTGAAGGGCAGCACTGGGCAGGTGCCTGAGGCTGAGCAGAGGGTCCCTGGGTCTGACCCCAGGCTGTTGAGATTTGATGGTGCTCTGTCCTATGGGGCATCCTAAACGTGCATCCTGTGTCAGGACAGGCAGGGAAGCAACTGGGAAGTAATTTAAAATAACTCTATAGAGCAAGAGTTTGAGCCTTTGAAGGACCGTTGCACTTTGGAAGAGGAATAATGTCTGTGCGTAACTTTTGTCGTTTCCAGATGCTGTACCGTGTGGAGGATATTCCCAATACCATCAAGTATTTCCACAGTTGCCTTGACCATCATGGTAAACTCCTGATCATAATATTATCAGGTAATAAAGGCCTTTTATTTCTTGTTTCTTTGTCGGTGTTTTGAAAGTTTTGAAGTATAAGAACCACAAATACTCCCCTTGGGATTTTAGTAGTGCTTATTAATTAAATAAAACAAACGCTGTATTTTGTAGGGAACAAGCGATCTTGGGCTTAGCCTCTTGGACCCCAGTATCTGATGGGACTGCATAGGTGTAACCTTTGTGCTCTTGCTTGCCTGCTTATGAAGTAGATGAATTGCTCTCAAACTTGTGGGGACCTCCTGCTGTGAAATTACTGGCTAGAGAGCAGTGTCGCTGTTAATGAATGAGGGTCAATCCTCCTCCATGGTGAAATGAGCGCTGTACAACCTGAGCTCTGGCAGGACCCATCTATGGGGCTCTGCCCTCTGCACAGCGATGGCCCAGACCCCAGCAGGACAACAGGAGCTGCCAAGAGGAAAAAGAGGCACTTACAACATCATCACCCTTATTAGAAAAGAAGTGTTTTTTACAGTGTACCATTCAAAGTTCCACAGCTTGTGGTACAGTGGATAAAGCACACTTTCCCACCTTTGACATTATAACTCCCTTTAACATTGCTGGTAGACTGTTTCCCTTGCTAGCTGGGACTGGCTTTTCAGGTATGTATTTTCTGATGTATATGTAAAATTGAGGTTCAATGTTTAAAAAAACCCCATCTGTGCTAGTTTACCAAGGGGACAGTTAATAGGTAGCATGCATGTGCAGGCTCAGTGTGCTGATATATGTGTGTACTTCTCCTTCTGGGCAAATCTAGTGCTGGAGAATGTGTCCTTGGAGTTTCCTTTAAACCGGAGAGTTTTGGAAGGAAGGCTGAGGTCGATCACAGTTTTACCCCTCTCCAGGCACTGACAATTATAAGTGCACTCAAGGGGAAAGTCCTTCTACTGCTCCTGGCAAAGTCTAGGCCAGTAGAGAAGGAGTGTTTCAAAGTCATTTCGTAGTTACATCACCTGGTGTTTGACTGCCTTGACTTTACAAACATAACCTTCCCTTCTGCTCTGGCAGACAGTAGCGGATGGGCCAGCTTATGGAAGAAGTACAGGCACTGCTTGCCTTCCACCGACAGCGGCCACTACATCACCTCCAACAGCATCACAGACGTTTTGAAGAGACTGGGTGTTGAATACCACGTTTATGAGTTCCCGTCGGGCTGGGATATCACCGAGTGCTTTATTGAGGGGGATCCAGTTGGAGGCCACATGATGGATTTCCTGACGGGGACAAAAAACTTCCTGGGCACGGCCCCCCCGGGGCTGCGGCAGCGGCTGCAGGAGGCTCTTTGCCAGCCTGAGTGCAGCAGCAAAAAGGACGGGAGGATCATCTTCAGCAACAACTTGAGTATGATTGTGGTTGAATCCTAGAGTACGGACCAACTGCAGAAGACAAGTTAGCGTGGGTATAGGGGCGTTGCAGTCACAGAAGGGCGTAGTGTAGACAGAAGGCAGCTTGCAGGCAAGAAGGCAAAAAGTAGGGCTCAGCCACAGCATCCATTCCCAGTCAGGGTCAGCAGACTGCAACACCAGGGATGAGCTCTTTGTCCCAGTGAGGTCAATGGGGCCAAGATTTCAGTCTGGCTATTTAGTCCAGCCCTAGGAGAATGTTTTCCAGGAAGTAAAGAGTTCTATCTCACTAAAAGCCTACATGGACTTTTTCTTTCTTTTTTTTTTTTTTTTTTCTTTTAATGGTGTGCATCTTGTCTGTGCTTTTGACACTGGGGTTTCCACTTTTCTATATAGCCAGCATGTTTACATACCTAAAGACATGTTTATATGACTAGGCCCTGCTTTGTAGCTGGGAGGAGGCTGCAGCCCCCATGTCGCCTGCGTACAGACCCACTGCTTCCAGCCGTGCCAGGACAAAGCAAGGTGTCCCTGCTGCTTTGCACCCAAGTAACGCGCCTCACTGCACCCAGACCTGAGCTGTAAGTTGCTCTGCACTAGGCTATTTCCTACAAATTTTATCAGTGTAGGTATTTACTGCCCTAAAGGTCCCAGCACCTCACAATATAAACATGTCTTAAAAATTTATCAGCCTTTTTGTTTGGAGAATTTTTTGGATCACAGGATGATACTTGCCCTGTGCTCTTTCAGGCAGATATTAATTTTGTTACTTTCTTACTACTGTTTTTCTCCATATAAAATAAAATCAACTTTAAACCAAAAAAGTCACATCTTGTTTTGCACATGTGGGCTTGCAGAAAATGAAGAGCTAAGAGGTTATTTAGTTACATGAAAAAAAGATGCAAAATACCATTTTATGGAAGCATTAAGGGTTTCTTGTAAGTGAGAATGATGGGCCTGAGGATGTGGAAGAGCTGGCAGTGAGCTGCAGTTTTTTCTTGTGCTGCAGCCATGGGAGGCAGCTTGGCTCACTTGAAGAAGCATCGCTACATCACAATAAAACAGCATCTACTTTAATTAAATATATGTGGTTAAGCTGTTAATATAGGTAAGTTAAGACTATTTCCACAGGGTCCTGAGTTGTTCAGAGGGTTAAAGGAGGTGCTGCCAGGGCAGCCGGCTGGAAAGGGAGATCCTGCACAGGACACCAGTGGGGTTGGGCACTGCATTTAGGGCTATGGTTCTGTGCAGACCTTGGGCTGGGCACATGGGAGGAAAGGGCCTGAAGTCCCACTGGCTTCATTGCAAACAGCGTCCACCTCTATAAACTGATTTTTCCATGCTTAAGCTGGAAAGCACATGCCCTTGTGCACCTGAAGGGGCTCAGGTATCGCTGTCTCACTGATGCCTGGTATTGATCAAAAGGCTTGTTCCAACATCACAAACACATGGGTTGGCACATCAACTTGCGACATATTAGATGTCACTATCACCCAGAGTCCTGCTGATCCCACTAAACCTACCCCACCCCCCACACCGTCTATCTGCCTGGATGCAGTTACTGACAGAGGTAACAGTGCTCCTGTCTGAAAAGGTAATGTCACCTCATGGAGTCATTGTGGCTCCACTTTGTTTGTTTGTTTTTTTTCTCTTTGCTTTTTAGTTTGTTTTGTTTGGGGTTTTTCATATCTTTTTGAAATGCAGCCATTTCTCCTGCAGATGTTTCCTGTGAAACTACTGTAAAGGAAAAAAGAGAAAAGCAACGGGAAAACGCTAGTGGAACATCGTCCCTCTGGCAGGACTGCAGCACCCTGGTCTGTAAGTACTATTGCTGTCAGTTTAAGAAACATCAATCAAAACTGGTCAACCTCCTCCAGAGTACCCCATACCTATGCACAAGCTTTCAATTTTGATCCTTTCTTTTTTTATTCTACAGGTATCTCCTTTGTTTGTGGTTGCTTACAACAGTGAGCAGTGTGTATGGCTGGGCTGTTGGACAGGCTCTCAGCACTGCTCCCATCAGTGTTCTACTTCTGTTATTAATTCCCATGGTTTATTTCCAAGCATTAGCGATATCTCTGTCACTAGATTGTAGATTAAAAGGAAAAACAAAACATATCAAAAACCAGGCTTGATTTTTAAGCTGCAAAGAATCATCTACCTCTTAGTCTTTGCAGAACTTTGAAAGAGCCCAGGTTCCTTCAGGTCTTCCCCAGCCCAGGAGGTTTTCATCCTCCTTGGAGCTTCCTGAGCAGATAGACACATTTCCAATAAACCAATACTCAGCAAAACCCATGAGCACAAAATTTACCCACACTATTGTAAATCAATGTGCAAATGCTCAAAAGAAAAGGCACACTTCAAAGCAGACTGTTCAGTGACAGCCTAGAGAGATAAAACAGGGCACCCCATTAAAAACACGACTGCTTAATGCTCTATCTGTAATTTCTCTTTTGATTCTTGAAAAGCAAGTCATTTAAGAATGACTCTGCTTGTATACCTGGTACAAATACTATATTGTCTGTTCCATTTATTTCTATATTTGTTCTTGGGTGAATATGCTATTTAATAACTATTTGTTGTGCTTTTAAAAATATGCTCTCCTCCCACTCAGAATTTTGGTCTGTGCTTTCCCAGCAGCCAGCATGCAGGAGTGCGGTTGGGTCTGTGTGGCCACAAGAGGGCTGCAGCAGCCAGCAGAATAAAGCTGCCTCCCAAAACGCTGGAGATGCTGGCCTGAACAAGCAGGGTCAAGTAGCCGGGCAGGAGCATGGAGCACTGCCTGAGCTCAGCTTTCTCTGCTGGGTCATCACATCTTGATTCCAGTGGTTGGGGACCACGCTTTTTTCTACTGTAGTCATATTCTTGATGATGGGCTCTGGCTTGTAAAAAGTCACGACTGCAACAGCAAGTGTGCCAACAAAGGCTGCGTGAAATTTGCTCTTGGGTTGTTGTTTTTTTTTTTCCCCACCTGATGGCTTGGCTGCCTCGCAAACACAGGTCTGCAGACAGCTAGTCAGGCACGGCGGCTGGCTGGGGGAGGAAAACACAAGGAAGGGGATGTCAGGACTAAGAGGTTGCTTCTGCTTTAGCTTCAAGCCAAATTAACCTTGCTGACCTCAGTCCAGGATGAGCCCTACTCCACAATGAGTTTCATGGCAGTTCAGCCCTGCGGTTAGCGAGGAACCGGTACGTAGTTCCTCGAGGGAGCTGTGCCACTCCATCAGCACGACAGCTTCTTCCAGCCCAAAGCGAATGCTTTTGTGGATAACCATGTAGCAAGCTGCTGTGAGTACTCTGGAGTAGAAGTAATGTCTACAAACCCAGAACTGCATTATTTTTAAATGGAACGCTTGCAGATTTTATCATTATTTCAAGTTAGTAATATGCCCATTTCAATGGCATGGCATTGCTCTGATTGTGTGTTACAGCCTCCTAAAAAGGAGTTACAGAAAGCAGCTCTTTATAATATCAAGCAAGGCTAATTTGTTTTTTTACTGGGCTTGTATTCAGTCTTGGGGGCTGGTTTGCCTTTGTAATGAATGTTAAGGCTTCTCTACCCATGAACATTACCAGGGGAATGAAGGTAGCATAGGAATTAGAAAATCTAATATCTTATTTCTGAATAATTCCATTAAAAGACAAGCTCAGTAAAATACTGGAACATATATTGGCAAGATTCAAACTAACCTCAACCAGGGAGCAAAATATAAAAATTCAAATGCTAAACTCCACACCCCCACCCCCCACCCCCCCCC